ACGGTTTGTGGGATCGAGCCTCGCATTGACTTATAGCATGGAGGCTGCTTGGGATTCTCTCTCTTGCTCTCTCTCTCTGCCCCTCCCCTGCTGGTGATCACTCACGTACTCTCTCTCTCAAAATAAATAAATAAACTTAAAAAAACATTTAATCCTCTCTAAAGGTTTTCAAACCTAGAAGCTTATCAATTGCTCTTACAACAAAAAGCCTCACTGACAACATTCAAATTATATACTTCTGACAGCTCTAGTTGGTTCTCAGATTCCCCTGTAGTTTGTTTCCAGAAGCTCACATGTACAGCTTTAATGAACAATCAGGAAGACAGAAATCACAGGTATTTCAGCAAGGATAATTTAATAAAGTGAACTGGTTAGATGTATATTAAAGGCTGAAAAGGCAAAATGGAAACAGCAAGCTAACACCAAGAGAGAGTTGCCAACCCTAGAGCTTGAGGTAACAAAGCTCAGAGAAGGAGCCCTGTGGAGTTGGGACCCATACCTCTGAGAAGGAAGTGCTGGCCAGTTAGTTCTGCTATCTCTAATGGAACATGATGTGGTTGGTTTCAGGGATGTGAAAAAAAACAACCACAAATTGGAACCAGTTCCCGATGCCAGAGTAAAAAAAGAAGGGGAAAAAAAGCATGCAATTCAGATGACACAAATGGAGGCTAAAACAGGGGAAAGATCATGTCCCTTCTTACTGTCCAGGCCTTTTAATATTCTCTAATGTCCTCTTATTGGCAGAAGGAAGGCAGTAGGCAGAAAACAAATGTGTAGAGCAGGAGTTGGTTGGCATATTGCAACCCAGTTGGCAGCTCACTTTTTGTATGGAGTAAGAACTAAGAATAGTCTGTATTTTTAAAGAGTTGTGGGGGGAAAAAAAGAATATGCAATAAAGACCACATGTGGCTTACAAAGCCTAAAATATTTACTAAGCTTTATTTGTGTTATTTATCTAGTTGTATATTAATGTGTGTTAATATATACACATTACAGAAAAAGTTTAGCAACCCCTAGTGTAGAGTCCCATCCCCAGCATCACAAAGCAGAGTACAGAAGAGTGAGTTAGGAGATGAGAGACCACAGGGGTGCCTGGGGGGCTCAGTCTGTTAAGCATCCGACTCTTGATTTCAACTCAGGTCATGATCTCATAGGTTCGTGGGTTCGAGCTCCACACTGGGCTCTGTGCTGACAGTGCAGACCCTGCTTGGGATTCTCTCTCTTCCTCTCTCTCGGCCCCTCCTTCTCTCTCTCAAAATAAATAAATAAATTTAAAAACGAAAAGGAGATGAGAGACCACAGCTTAAAGACTAGCACAACACCTGCCTGATTCTCTTTGTACAGTGGACAAGAGGAAGATCATGAGACTATCCTTAATTAAATAGGACACTTAAAAGGTTTTATAAGAGAATTCTAAAAGACAATGTCACTCACTGAGAATTTAGGAATAGCAGTTTACAGTCATCTTCCCTATTCAAAAATTTAATTTCTAAAAACCATCAGATGAAAGAATACTTTAGTGCACCCCTGCTTTAGTTCCCAGATGCTTCTTCTCACTGACTAGAATTGTCTTTCCTGACTTTGATTCTACTCATTTCATTATAACTCATACACAGAACTTTCTGTTAAGATTTCAAAATAGAAAGGACAGTGATCAGAAAATAATGATGGAGGGGCACCTGGGTGGCTCAGTCAGTTAGGCATCTGACTTCGGCTCAGGTCATGATATTGCGGTTCATGAGTTTGAGCCCACATCAGGCTCTGTGCTGACGGCTTGGAGCCTGGAGCCTGCTTCTGATTCTGTGTCTCCCTCTCTCTCTGCCCCTCCCCCGCTCATGGTCTATCTGTGTGTGTGTCTCTCTCAAAAACTAAACACTAAAACAATGTTTTTAATTTAAAAAAAAAAAAGAAAAAGAAAACAATGATGGAAAATAATTATAGCTAAAAAGAGGTTTTTAAAAAAATTACTTCCCCAAGGTGATGCATGAAATGTGAATATGTACAATACTGACTTAGGTAAGATAAAGACACATTGTTAGCCCTCGAACAATCACTGAAAACAAACAAAAAGAGGTGTAAGGCAAGAAGTCAATAATGGAAATGAAATGAAACATTAAATTTTTTTTTAATTAACTCAAAGAAGGCATGAAAAGTGGAACACAGGAACAAAAACAAGAGATTAATAAAAAATCAGCAAGATGATCAACTTAAACACAATCATGTCAACAACGATGTTAAATGAAAAATGGACTAAAAAAAAAAAGAAAATAGACTAAACACTACCAATGAAAAGACAGAGATTGTAATATTACTTTAAAAACAAAACACATAGGGGCGCCTGGGTGGCGCAGTCGGTAAAGCGTCCGACTTCAGGACTTACTCATTTCATTATAACTCATACAGAACTTTCTGTTAAGATTTCAAAATAGAAAGGACAGTGATCAGAAAATAATGATGGAGGGCACCTGGGTGGCTCAGTCAGTTAGGCATCTGACTTGGCTCAGGTCATGATATTGCTGGTTCATGAGTTTGAGCCCACATCGAACTCTGTGCTGACGGCTTGGAGCCTGGAGCCTGCTTCTGATTCTGTGTCTCCCTCTCTCCCTGCCCTCCTCAGCTCATGGTCTATCTGTGTGTGTCTCTCTCAAAAACTAAACACTAAAACAATGTTTAATTTAAAAAAAAAAAAAAGAAAACAATGATGGAAAATAATTATAGCTAAAAGAGGTTTTTAAAAAATTATTTCCCAAGGTGATGCATGAAATGTGAATATGTACAATACTGACTTAGGTAAGAAGATAAAGACACATTGTTAGCCCTCACGAACAATCACTGAAAACAAACAAAAAAGAGGTGTAGGCAAGAAGTCAATAATGGAAATGAAATGAAACATTAAATTTTTTTTTTAATTAACTCAAAGAAGGCATGAAAAGTGAACACAGGAACAAAAAACAAGAGATTAATAAAAATCAGCAAGATGATCAACTTAAACACAATCATGTCAACAACTATGTTAAATGAAAATGGACTAAAAAAAAAAAAAAAAATAGACTAAAAAAGAAAATAGACTTAACACTACCAATGAAAAGACAGAGATTGTAATATTACTTTAAAAAACAAAACACATAGGAAGCCTGGGTGGCGAAAGGTCGGTAAAGCGTCCGACTCGTCACGACACAGCCAGGTCCGCGATCTCGCAGTCACCGGGAAACATCAGGCTCTGGGCTGATGGCTCAGGGCCTGGAGCCTGTTTCCGATTCTGTGTCTCTTCTCTGCCCCTCCCCGTTCATGCTCTGTCTCTCTGTCAAAAATAAAAATAAAAAACGTTGAAAAAAAATTTTAATAAAAAAAAAAAAACAAACACAAAAAACAAGACTTAACTCTGTATTTTATGAATGCATATATGTAGAATTACAGTCCAGAGAAGGACCCTACATATATGCTATCTACAAGAGACATATTTTAAATACAAAAAATTGAGTCTCCACCAAAGCTCAAGCCATCCAAGGATTAAAAAGGAGCACTTGCTGATTCAGTCGGTTCAAGCATCCAACTTCAGCTCAGGTTACAATCTCATGGGGTTTGTGAGTTAGGCCCTACATT